TACCTCTTTTCTTAGATAACTGAAGAAGTAATATGGTAATACGGAGTAGTATTTTCACTTTCATTCTTAAGTGACCTGCTTGTTATCAAGATGAACTGCAATCCAGAACTGATCTGCATTGTTGATGTTTAGTAGTTGATCCTTTTTTTTTCAAACAGGTTATTCCTTCTGGGATTGGACAAATATGGGAAGGGTGACTGGAGAAGTATTTCGAGGAACTTTGTTGTGACGAGAACACCTACACAAGTAGCAAGCCATGCCCAGAAATACTTCATTCGTTTAAACTCTATGAACAAGGATAGGAGACGAGCTAGCATTCATGACATCACCAATGCTAACGATGGAGATGCACCAGTAGTGCCCCAAGGAGGACCAATTACTACTGGACACACTAACGGAACTGCCACATCTGGAAAGTCCAACAAGCAACCAGCTCTAGCTCCTGCTCCCCCTCCTACTATTGGAGTTGCTGCTATATATGGCGGAACAACTATTGGACAGCCAGTAGGAGTACCACTTGTTCCTGCAGTCGCAACACCAATGAATCTCCCGCCACATGCTCACATAGCTTATGGAACACCTACCATCCCTGGACCAGTGGTGACTGGTGCTCCTATGACCTTGCCTGCAATGCCTCATACATCAACCCATAGGTGAACCGTTTTCTCATCTGACATTTGTACAAACTGAAGCGAATAGCCGTTTGTTTTTTTTTCCTTTGTGGGGGGCATCGACATCAAGACATCGTAAAATAACTTATTATGGTGTCACTGAGAGACCCACCCTTCGGTAGAATTCTTGCTTTCCGTAAAAGTCGATATGAGTTGTTTTAGAGATTTTGCTTTCATCTTTGTAGGCAGCTAGTGATATGGTAGCACTTAGTTTAGGAGAGTGAAATTGTTGCCTTCAAGCTGGATATTCTCACATGAAAGTAGTCTTACAGCACTTGTGATCTCTCCTGGGAAGTGTATAGCCATATCCAGCACCTATGTATTCTATGGAAACCGCTTGTGGCGGGGTGAGTTTAGATGGTCATATGGTAATAGTCCATTCCTGGTTTTGTTTATTTATTTGCTTGTATAACTTTGATTCGTTTCCCATATATTCATATTCAGGCAGAGAGAGGATTCCAACAACTGGGGTGTATCATGTGTCTCTTGACATTGCATGCTATGTGTCATGTGAAATATAACATAATCCAAAAGTTAGCTTATTTTTGAAAGTGGAATGATCCAATGCAAATAGCCAAATAGTTAGGATACTAAAAGTTGAATTAATAATTGTCAAAGTTTATAAATTTATCAGAATGAAGAAATTAGTTTAGTTACTGAACACATAGATAGGTCATTTTGGGGAATTGGCCGACTGAGTGTTTCTAGGGCTGGAACAATCGACAAAACTCAAAAGGATGCAAGTTATATTTCAACCCATAAGTTATACTCCGTACTAGGTATAAGTAATGTGACTGGGCATCGTTGTGTGATTTAAGGCATTCTCAATGAAACCAGTGAGATAGATATATTTAAATATTTAGAACATCTTCAATATAACAATGTTGCACGATACATACATGACAAGAGAAATATAAACACAAAATTAAATAATAATAATAATAAAAAATCTATCCTTACACGCCTACATGGTCTTTTATATTTTAGTTTATTTTAGCAAGAATGTCAAGCAAAATGTCTACATTTAGGTGTTACCACTTACCATTGACATTATAGAGAAATTATTATAAAAAATCGATAAAGTCATTCAAGTAAAGAAATATTATATTGATTAGCCTTTTGTGTTTATCTCTCTCATGTCATGTATACACTAATTTCGGTTAAAATGTACAAACTAATTTAAATTGACAAAACCTGACTGAAAGTAATTAAACCATAATCATTGAAATCTGGTGTAATTCTCAATTTGAAGGAACCAAATTGAAACTGATCAGATTTGCGAGCGCGGAACACCCTAGCTTTTATAGGATCAACATTCAACAAAGGATACACGAGTAATTGATTACTAGTAGAATTAAAACAAAATGTGATTAGATGTCAACACATTGTAATTTATAGCCTCTCTTAAACAAACTTATATTTTTTGTCTCACTTTAATTGGTCTATAGTGTAATCTTAAGTGTTACACCTTATTTTGCATAGTTTTTCTTAATTCATAGACCATAGTGATATATTATCTTTTCTTTGCAGATGGAATTTTTTATGTATTTACTAAAATGCCAGTTGAGTTTTTAACCTTATGTGTTAGTTGCGGTTGAACATGTCACGGAAAAGTTTCTAACAACTTTTTCTGCTGCACTTTTTTTGAAAGCAAAACGCAAAACTATATCAATTAAATAAATGTTGCAGTTACAATGAGCCAAAAGCTCAAAACACAACCAACCCAACTAGACTCAAGAATTACCCTACAAATAGACTCTGAGACAGTCACATCCAAAGAAGCAGCACGAATCGCTGATCATCTAGTGGGAAACATAGAGTTCAGTTTGATCCATAAGGTCATCGACTCATCGCACTCTTTCTAATTTCAGAAATCTCAAAATAGCCAAAAGACCCTCTCAATCCCCGATCAGACATAGAAAAATTCACTCATCACTGACCACCAAGTGTGAGCTTTGAGGCATATAACGACCTCAAATATCTCAAGAACATCACGAAAACAATTAAAACAAAACCAAAACAAAAGGTCTAAAGAAAGGAAAATACTCTTGAAATAAAAATAAAGCAAGAAACCGCATGTGGCCCAATCCAACCTTGAAGCGTTATCTTCCAAACCCTAGTCACGTGGCCACTCCAAGGCGGCGGTTCCAGAGGGGGACGGTCCATCACAACTTCATCTTCCTTGTTCATCTCGTCATCTAGCCCCATAATTGCTAACTTCAAATCCTTAGTCCATGAGTAGAACCCCTGCTGCTCTTGCAATGTACAATCATTTGTCATCCCTTCTACCTTGCTCCAGCCCAAATTCGCCAGTTAAAGAAATCTGGGCCGATAAATTTCCGTCACTTTCAAAACTCCACACGGATTAATCGGCGGCACAACCTAACTCCTACAAAATGAGGGAGTCGTCCGCTGTTTTGTGTTGTGACCCTAGGCTATTCTTGTTCGTAATTCTTTTTTTTTTGTACTGATCATTTTTATTATTAATAAATAGTTTGTTTTTATTTCAAAATAAGAAGAAAAAACAACCCTCTAAATATATAGTAAGGCAAGAGGGCGGGGTGAGCAATTGGGTAAAATTTAAAGGAAGAAAATTTAAATTAGTATAAGTATAGGTAAGGCGCGTTTTAGAAAAACATATGACACAAATGTCATTTTGGATCAATAAAAGTAGGTTTGAGATCGGTTCAGTTCTTAGGCAAAACAAATAAAACTATTTAAAAAAATTAACTCTTAATATTGATTTGGTTCTTATAAATTATTTGTAGAACCGATATTGAACTGAACAAACTTAACAGTTCATTTTGTGTCAGTTTTTGGTTCCTATTTTTTTAAATCTCATACAAATCAACATTAAATTTGTGCCCCATAAAGACATTCAAGGTTTGAAATTATAAGAAATATAAATACGTACAAAGTTGCCATCATTTGAAATAATCTCAAAAGTTAAATTTCAAACATGAGTACATAACAAATTGAAAATTTTAGTAAAGAAAACAAAAAGACATCTTCTCCTAGAGGAATCGATTAAATACTTATAAAGTTATTAACTCTATTAATTAAACCAATTAAATAATTATATATGGTGGAATGTATAATACTTATAATAATAAATTACATTATAGTGCATAACATCTGAAAGATAACTAGGAAGATAAAATTGTAAGATACAACTATAGAAAAATAGTTCAAAATTTTCTTGGTAACGAATAATTTTATTAAACAATAAAAATTAGTGATTAAATTACTTTAGCATTTTCTATAAAAAACATAAATATATAAACTAGTTAATTCACTGACAAGTTAGAGTATCATTTTCTATTAATTTTATATTTAATTTTTTTAGGAAATTTTAAGTTATAGATTGTTACTCCGTACTCCGTATATAATTAAGATTAATATTTTGATATTTGATTAAAGTTCGTGCTAATTCTTGGGAAAAAATATAATTAAATAATTAATAAAAACTACATAATCTAATTCAAGTATATAAAAATTGCTTTGATTGAATGAGTAATTGTTACAAAATATGAACTTTGAGCCCTTTTTTTAATAAAAGTTAAAGAATAGATAGATTTATGAATTTTAGAATAAATGTTAGGGATATAATAAGCTAATAATCCTTAACTTAATATTACCCCTTTTATGTAATTGTATTTTAAGTCCAAATATGAAGTAATATAAATACATATTTTCATGCTAAACCTAAACTTCATTAATTGAAAATTAAGAAAATATTCTATTGTTGAGATGCATTCACATAAAATTTGTAATTATTGGCCATGCAAAACTTACGTGAACAAACTAGGTACAAAGTAATAAGGTAATATGACCCTCCGTACATTATTTTAAAAGTGATCAATAAGATAACGGTTGGGCATAACTATGGTAGTATTTGCCTGTTACTATGAGAATTGAGGAGGTTGCATGCATGGATCCACTATACTAATTTGTTTCGGCTATTGATGACTTGATGTGATAACATATACATTTTGTGAAAATTTTGAGCATGTATATTTACTGTTTTAAGATGTTTGTTTTGAATAAAAATACACAAAATTTAAAACGTAATTTTGGCCACATTATCTTTAAATCTTATACATAAATATTTACGTAGATAATTTAAGATTAATGAACTATTTAACAATATAAAATTAGTAAAGTTTTGATAATTGCTGTAGATAATTAAGTTAATTAATTATAAATTTATTGTCATTTTATTTACTCAGTGTAGATAAAGTTACTTACAAGGTGTCAAATTCATCAGACTACTAAACCATAATACTAAGTATAAGAGTAATGAACTATTTAACAATATAGATTTATTAGAGTTTTGATAATTTCTGTTGATAATTAAGTTAATTAATAATAAACTTACTATATATCATTTTATTTATTTACTCATAAACATGATACAATCTGTGCTAACCCTTCAGTGTTAAAGTAAAATCGTACGCTTTCACAATTTAAATCGGGAACCTATTAGCCAGCTGCTAGAGTGTATCTGTGTATGTAAACACCACTTTGGGTGATTGTAACTTGTTGACAAGTTAATGAAATACAAGTTTCTTGCATTTTATTTTATTCTCCAAACATTTGGCGCTTCCGATTCTTGATAGCAGGTGTCCGCTAAACCTGGAAAAAAGACTCCCTGAGATTTGTAAGGGGTTTATCAGAACACAAAAGGCGGATCTCAGACCGTGTATTGGAACAGAACTCATATCTACTACACGGCTACACCCCTACCTTTCTCACCCAGAATATATAGACTTTGAGTTATTTTTCATTGAATATCATCAGTACGTAAATCGGCAATCTTAACAAATAAGAGTAAAAGATTATACATCCATCAACTTGAGCATTACACATCATCTGCATGTAGACGATCAGAAGATGTTAATGGCGTTGTGCTTACCACACCAGCATCATCAGAAGTAACTGCCTTTTTGGAAGGATAAAGAACATAATGTTGCACCATGAACAGGATGTCAAAGAATATAGATACCTGTAAAACAAGCAATCAGGAAGGATTGAAATAGTGCTTTAACTAATTTAAGTGGAATTATAGAGTAATAAATTCTATAATGAGGAATGGTGTATAATAATGAATCCAGTAATCGGAAACCTAAATAGTTTATTTAGGAAATAAAATTTATACCAGGGACAATAAAGTCTTTCCGATGTTTCCATAGAAATTCACCCATGAATCTGAAAAATAAAAATAAACACATTAGATAAAATAAGTACTTCTACACCAGATTTGGCTTTATATATGACACTGTCCAGTCTTCACATGAAAAATGTGTTAGAATCTCACATCAGAGGAGTAAAGAGACGATATGGGTTAATAATCTTTAATTGTGGTTTGACCAAAGTGCCTTTCGGGTCAGCTCAGTGACCCAACCAAATCCTGGATTCTATCATAGTTTGGGAACAAGTTTTGGCTTACTTCATTTATAAGGCACCCCGTTAGATTCAAAAAATCCTGATTGCCCACTACGGCCCAGGTCAGAAATTTAGAATCGCGTTGAAAAGCTAGGTGATTAATAAAACTTTGTATTGAACTACAAAAATATTGGATCCAATCTTGACCGAAGCACCTTATGACCAAGTTCCTGAATCCTATCAATAAGTGAATAATTTGAAATTGAGAATTTAAGACTTACTTTGATCTATAGACTGTACAACCATCTGGCCATAGTTTGTAAGCCCACCTAGTAAATCAAGCAAAATATTGCCAATACTCCATCCAGAAGTGCTTTTTCTCCGAAAATTCAATACTGCCTACAGATCCACACATTGATAAGAAAAAGAATTCATCACAGTGGGGAGCAATTTGTTAAATAGACTTCTATAACCTGGGGAATGTATTTGATGACTGTCATGACAACCTGCATGGTGCTGCCAATATCGTTAAAAACACACAACTCATCAGCACTCAAAATTTGCAATCTTGTTGCCTATCAATAAATTCATGATCACAGGAAAGTAAAAGTCACGATAAAAGTTTTTGTTAAAATGTATCTACAACGAGATGTGGTAATATCCGGGAAAGTCTGAGATTTTAGAATAATAATGAAGGGCTCTATTTTTCTATTCAAGTTAAGGTCAAGTCAACGAGATAGGAAAAGTATCCCAATGATTTGCTATTTCATACTACGGTATTTAACAAGACAAATTCTTACAGTTCTAATGTTAAAGATCTGGAGTGGTCTCTTTACCTGAAGCAGGACACCAGCCAAAGCCAATTGTGTTTGGGTATAGCTATGAACACACAAATTGCAATGGTCAACCATACAACTGAGAGAATAGCAATGCAAAGTTTTGATACCTTTTGGTTTCCGCGCTGTAAAGTTACAAACAGCAAAACAAAACAAAAGTATCACGCCAAAGCAGCTTACTTTATCTATCAAAACTCTCTATCTTCTGAAGTCTCAAACATATAAAATCAAGTATTTTAGAGTAGCTAAACTAAAGATCAGTTGAAATATTTAAAAAAACTGAGAAAGTATAAACTACTTACATCATAGATCGCAATCTGAAACAAGGTTATTGCTGTCAAAAGAACAGCATGTACAGAGAAAGCAACATCATTAACGGCTACAGGTATCATCTGTATAAATGAAATCCCAAGTTATCAATCAGGTAGCTTCATATACGGAAAATGCATACAAGGAAGTGCACCTGTGAATACTTATTAAGACAAACACTTTAAACACGGGGAAAAGAGAGAGATGATAAATAGGCCAAAGCGATAACTTGAAAGATAAGAAATAGGTCAAACGCACCACAGACAGGCTACCTTGAATTATAGGTGTCAACTAAACAAAATACAATAGTACTGCTTTGGTACAATATTAAAATTTGGGGTCCCTAAAAACAGCAAGCCTGACAGAAAGAATGACTATGATCTTATATGTTGGATTATATGGTCTTAAGTTTAAGATGTGGGCACTTTCTCAAACAATCCTGCACACATAGGCACATAGCGTTGGAAAGAATGACAACACGTGAACATCAATGTTGCACGAAAACGTGTAAATATGAGCAAACGGATAACTGGAACGTCGTCTTTTAACAGAAAGAAAACTTTTTGAAGAGTTTCCAAAGAGTTTCTGGTCCAGGTCGTTCATGGTCCGAGAAAAACAAGTACACATGCAGGAAATAACACAGCTTTATTTTCAAAAGAGGGAAAATAATAACAGTATTAGTAGCAGCAGCAGAGAAAAACAACAAATTCATTTGCTTAAAACATGGGGAGGAGAGGACAATGAAGCAAATAGATGCGGAACCTCATCAAAGCCGTACTTGCGATGATACTGCTTCTGAACAGTAGAGCTGAAGAAGACTGAGGCGTTATAGATGAGATACGATGAGTGCTTCGTCAAATTCAACAACACGAAGTCGAAATTTAACCCTACCACACTGCGTCCAAATCACTTCTAATATAAGCAGCAGCAGCAGAAGAACATAACTACAAATATTAAATACGTAGCGAAAAGGGGAACCTTTTCCGGCGGAAATTCAAGATGACCTGAGGATAGAAACTGATGGACCACGAAACAAACGCAACCCAGCCCAAAACGTTGTACAGAACCTCCATGGGGGTTGAGTTCCAAGACGCCGCCATTTCAAACGGAGAAGATCGATATTGGCCAGTTCAATTTGAAGAGGTTCTGATCACGCTAGCTCCAGATCAGCGCGGCACAGAATCAAACGGAGAAGGCGGGGTTAATATATGCAACCGGATGGAGCGCGCCCACGAATCTGGTCGGGTTCACGTCCCTGTTCGCGCCGCCCAAAATGGATACAAATCGTCATGGGGTCCCTCCATTTAAAACCTCTGTTCTAAAAATCGGCTTGTGACTAGTCCCTGCCTAGGCGCTAGGCGGTGGTCCGGCGCCCGATTTTCGCCTAGGCGCTCCGACTAATTGGTTTGCCATCTAGGTGAATTAGTCTACCGCCTATGGCGCCTAGTTGCCCACCCAGAGCGCCTAATTGGCCGCCTAGGCCGTCTAGATTTGCCGAACATAACTTTACTTTTTAATTTTTATTTTCTAAGTGATATAAGTACTTTAGCCGCAGATATAAAGAAATGAAGTTGTAAATTACGATAAAAACTATATACTTCGTATGTTTGTATATATACCTAAATTTTATTATTATTTATATTTATAACACAATGAAGTTAAGTGATCAGTTATCATATACTATGTATGATTAAATGTGATTTTTTATCATTCATGTTTGTTAATGTATATGTACATATGTACTTTATACACACAAAAATACAATAATACTTACATATTTGTGCAAAAATATAGATAAAAATGTAATTTCTATGTCTCCGATTAGACGATTAGTCCCCGACTAGGCGCCCGCCTAGCCGCCTAGGCGCTAGGCGCTGGACTGGCGCCCGACTAGCGCCTAGCGCCTTTTAGAACATTGTTTAAAACTTACCTCATTCACGCAAACATAGCATAAAAGATGGAGTTTTCCCAATGCAAACAATACGCATGAAACGCTGCCAATTGCAGCTTTCGAAACTGAAAACGCTGAAAAACAAACGTAAGTGTTTTCGTCTTAATCTTATAACTTATTGCTTATTCTTATTTTATTCAGATCAGATCAGAAAAATTCAGATCAGATCAGATCAGATCAGAAAGATTCAGATCAGATTAGAATCATTCAGATCAGATCAGAAAGATTCAGATCAGATCAGAAACATTCAGATCAGATCAGGAACATTCAGATCAGATCAGGAACATTCAGATCAGATCAGAAAAGTTCAGACGTGATTTATCCTTTTTATTATAATAATAATTATAATAATATTTGAGTTTTTTTTCAAATTAATGCAAAAAATTAAATTATTTACGAAATTGTTGTAGGGTTAAAACTATTTACAAGAATACTGCTCTATTGAACTACGGTTAAACAAACAATAGAATCGCCAAACCAAAGGGCGACTTTCTGCCCAAATACGGAAAGAACGTCCGTAGGAAAAGAAACGGCAGAGGGAGGGATCAAAATTGGGGATTAGGTGGCCAAGTGGCCCTAAGTTAAAAATTTCCACTTTTTCTTTGAAGTGTTCTATCTCTTGTATTTTTGTTCAAAATATTTTAAAAAATATACCAAATTTCATAACTTTTTATAATAGTTCATATAACACCAATATTGAATATATAAATTTAAGAAAATCTAAAGACCATATGAGGAGAAAAGGCTCGTTGCAACCATGATCCGTCAAATAACATAAATAACATATTAGAAGTGTCATCTACAGTAACTTCAGTCAATACAAGTAGAAAAGTAACTTCAACTTTAATTGTTTAATTATTACAGGTATGCCGGTGGTTTTTAGGCTCAATTTTTTTTATAAATAAATTCATGTTCTAAAATTAGAACTCACGTTTTTACACCGCAATTTCATGTTCTAATTACGGGATTTTAAATATATTGGTCGAAAGTGTCAATAAGGAGTCATTAAACTAGATCAGATCGGTCTAGTTTAAATAATTGACTTAAATTGTGTTATAATAAGAAAAATTAAGGTTGAATTTACTTTTTGACTGTATTAAATGAAGTTATTGTAGAGATCCATTTTCAATATTTCTTCATATAACTTTTATTTACCTTAAATTACCTTAATAATAAAAAATATTTCATATACTTCGTAAAAAAAAATCATAAATCAACAAAGAGGCCGTTAGTTTGGTAACACTGAAATCGGCTGATTCTGCTGATATTTATGAAGTTCTGGCTGAAGTTGCTGTATTGACTTATTCTGCTGATTTGTGAAAAAATACATTTAAAATATATTTTATTAATAAAATAAAGAAAAAAGTATATGAAAAATAGCTAAAATGGTCATCCACATTAACTTCAACGAATACAACCAGAAAAATAACTTCAACCTTACTTTTTTCTTATTATTACACAATTCAGTGCGCGAAATCAAAAGTTACGTATTTGGTTAAAAGTTGACCGATAAGCTGAAAAAAGAGTCATCAAACGGGCTCACAATCAATCAATCCAGAAACTTTATCCAGAACTTCATAAACTGTAGCGTAATCAATCGATTCAGTCAATTTCTTTGTTACCAAGCGGGCTCTAAGAAATTATGAGATCTTAATTTTAGAAAATTGATCTACTTAAAAAAAATTGTAGCCTAAAAACCCTCATTCATTGTATCATCAATTTATTTTTTTTTAATTTTATATATTGAATATGAGATCTTAATTTTAGAAAATTGATCTACTTAAAAAAAATTGTAGCCTAAAAACCCTCATTCATTGTATCATCAATTTTTTTTTAATTTTATATATTGAATATTGGTGTCATATGAAAGGTAATAAAAAGTTATGAATTTTGATACAGTTTTTATAAAAATCGGATTATAAATAAAAAACTTATACCAATTTAAAGAAAAAGAGGGATTTTTTTAACTTTGGATCCATGAACTATTTCCTATTGGTCAGCTCCTCCTGTTGGGTCCTACAAGTACCCATCTCTTTCATGCGGTGCTCTTCATCTACGCAGCGTGCTTCCTAGCTTGCCAACCATAGTTTGTTGGAGCAGTATTCAGTTAAATATTATTAACTCAACACCAATTCCGTAAATACTTTTTTATTCTGCAATATTTTAAAAAAAAACTCAATAATAATTATAATAATTATAATAATTATAATAATTATAATAATTATAATAATTATAATTATTATTATTCTTGTTGTTATTGTAATTAGTATAATTAATATTATTATTGATATTATTATTAGTATTATTATTATTCTTATTATTGTTATTATTATTATTATTATTACTATGATTATTATTATTATGATGATGATTATTATTATCATGATTATTATTATTCTTACTACTAATATGGTTGTTGTTGTTGTTATTAGTTTTGTTTTCGTTATTATCATATTATACGGAGTAATTACAATTAAAATTATAGAAATAAATATTATAATTATAATTAAAATTATAATTATAGAAATAAATATAACTATAAATATAATTACAATTATAATTATAGCTATATCTATAACTAGTGTAATATGTATAATAATAATTATACCTATTATAATTATGTTTGTAATTATAATTATAATTTTTATAATTATGATTATAATTATAATTATAATTATATTTAAATTATGTATGTGTAATTACATTTATAATTATAGTAATTATAATTGTAATTATAATTTTAGAAATATTTAAATCAAATCAGATCAGAAAAATTCAGATCAGATTAGAAGGATTCAGATCAGATCAGATCAGGAACATTCAGATCAGATCAAGAACATTCAGATCAGAAAGATTCAGATCAGATCAGAAAGATTCAGATCAGATCAGATCAGAAAAATTCAGATCAGATCAGAACTTAAAAAAATTCAGATTAGAAACATTTAGATCAGGTGAAGAGAACATCTTCGTAGTCACACCACATATGAGATATGGTTGATTCACATATGTTGCTGGTTAAAAAATCTATGTAACTTTTATATAGTATGAGTATTTGAGCACAATTTTGTCCATATTGAATTGCAAGGATTTTAAAATTTGTCCGATTAAATCACACTATCTCACCTCCATTAATATTGAAACGTGAGGGGGACACGATTTTTAAGAAAAGTAAGTATATGTGATTGATATTGAATTGGTAAATTATGAATAAAGTAAAAATGATTTAGATTCACATGAACTTCACTAAATTTGGAATGTGACAATTTATTGGGATTTGAAAATGATGCCAAATTGTCACTAAGTTCGAATATTTTTAATATTGAATATGTATTTAGGATTATGAATATTGTTTTTGGATCATTACTATTTTGAATATGTTTTTTGGATCATTAATGTTTAATTAAATTTGGAAATGATGTTATATTGTGACTATCGTTTAAGATTCCACACTATCAATGATCATGATTCATTTCCAACATATTTGCTTTGATCACACACTATTGGAAAGAGAATGGAGTTATAGCCTAATTCTTAGCTTATTACAGTTGGAACCGGATCCTCTCTCTTGTGATACCTCTTCCTATAAGGTGTAGGTTCAATTGTGATATGTTCGAGAGGAAAGGCTCGAGAATGTGGTGCATATTTTTGGGTATTGATGAAGTAAATTGTCCCGAGTAAATAAAAAAAAATAGAACGAACATAATATTTTATTGTGGAAATCAAATCGGTGAAAAATCACGGGCCTTTGTAGGCGGTACATGCCAATGGGACACATGAGCTTTTATTATATTCGTGTAGGGAGGTTAAATTTACAAAGCATATGGAGCTTTTAGGGAAGGCATTAATGGAGAAGTGAGCTAGGAAGTAGAAATATAGGTGTGTAAGAGGAGAGAGGGAAGTGTTCACCCATAAGAAATGGGATTGTGTGAATATGTTGATACTTTCAGTCTATCCGGTTCCTGACAAGATCTTATAGTCGGACTAAGATGTGTCTGGAGAATATTCTTCATCAGTTATGTTTGGCACAATTAGCTATCAAGATAATTTTATGAAATTTTTAGTTAACTATTAGTTTTTAGGGGTTGAAAAGATCTTAAAAGGATAAAATGATAGATGTTTGATAAAAAACTGACTATTTGAACGGTTCGGTGACTATTCTCCATCAGTTATGTTCGGTGACTATCTTAAACACCATTTTTTTCGTTGCACAGACAAAAATAAACGTGAAGATGACGACGGAAGATGATGTGAAGCTAAAGGACGAGAAAAGGGTAAAAAGAAAGAAAAAGAAAGAAGTAAAGTTTGCGGAAGATTTATATAGGGTGTAGCCTGGGACTTGAAAGATGA